ACTTCTCATTGTTCAGACAGAAAATCAAGCAAAATGATGCTGCTAGAGATAGATCACCTTAGAGAGTTGAAATAGGATGAACTGGAAGAGCAGACTGGATCACTGGCTCACGAGCTTGATGACCTTGAGATACCTAGGATCATAGAACACGTGAACTCAGGGGCGGACCCAGGGGTGTTTTCTTGGGGGGGGCGGAAATATAGGGGTAAATTAAGAGAGAATTTTTTTTTTGTTTTTAGGGACTAAAATGTACAAAATTAAAAGTTTGGGGGGGCGAAAGTGTATAAACTAATACATAAATACCCAAAAAAAAAAAAAGAACTGGAAGAGCAGACTGGATCACTGGCTCACGAGCTTGATGACCTTGAGATACCTAGGATCATAGAACACGTGAACTAAGCCGGGGTTGATCCGGCGGAGACCCCTCAAGACTGTTAGGTGTTCGTACGGATAGTATAAATGGTTCAGAGAATACAGTGCGTATATTACTCAGATAATAGGACGTACCTTAAGGAATGAGTTCAAACCTTTATTTATACCTTAGTTGAGATTGTCAGGCCTAAACACTCACTGTAGCACCCCCTTCAAGTCGGGCGATAAATCAAACCGGTTTATCGGATATTTATACATATATCGGAAGCAAAGGATCTCTTTGTAATTTTTTAAAACTTTGAAATGGGACCAAAATGCAATTATTAAAACTTTGCATTTCTCGAAATCTTTCTTAGGTTACTTTAGCCGAATAAAGGTTTCGTTTGGAAACAAGTTTCGAAAGGAGATTTTTCGTTCGAGTGCTACACTATCAACTATCAATTTTGGTTCGAAAAGAATTCAGAGTTGGAAAGGGTATTTTGGTAAATAATTCGAAAATTAATAGTTAAGGCGTGAAAAATAACGAAATTACCAAACGAACTATTTTATAATAGGATTTAAGTACGATTCATACCAGAAATGAGTTCGAAGGGTACGAAAAGGAAAATGTTTCGGTTTAATATTACATCACCAAAAGAAAACCCAAAATATTTAGCATCGTTCATAGGTCCTCGTACAACTTCCAACAAAAACCCGGGCAAGACCTCGATCCGCTACTCGATCCATCCCGGTTGAGGGTTACTAGCACTATTACCTGCAACTAAAAGGCATCTATATGAGTGTAGACAAACGAATTTTCAAGCAATTAAATTGCTAATTTCCATAGAGCCGAGTGATTTTTTATAATCAAGTGGCAAATATGTAATTATGCATATATATATATATATATATATATATATTATATATTAAATATCAATTATATGTTTTCTATTTTAATATTAGAAATTTAAATAAATTCCTAATTTAAATAGATAATTAATTTTAAATATATACATATTGACTAATAGGATTATTTCTTCTCCCCCAAGTTACAAGAGATAAATATCAATTTAAATCGGGCTAATCAAATCGTGCCACATCATCAGTAAGGGCCATCAATGACTCTTGTTCTACCACTATAAATAGGGACCCTGCCTTCACAATTCAACACAACTGAAGAAGCAGAAACCGTAGGAGCGAAATTCTCTCTACAATTCAAGAAGCAAGGAAGAAGAATTCGTAGGAGGTAAGATTCTCTCTCTACATTCAAATTGTTCTTCGTCAAATTCGAGGTGTTCTTGAGCAAATTCAGGGCATTCTTCGTCAAATTCAGCGTTCGATCCGAGATAACAGTGCCAAACCTTCGGATTAACGTTAATCAATTCAAGTCAAGATCATTGGAAGATTGAAGGGCCAAATCCATCAAAAATTTCAAGATCTTCAAATCAAATTTAGTCAAAGTTCAACGTTCGATCCGAGATTCAAGTCGCAAGACCCTTGTAAAACGTTATTCAAACCCAAAATCAAATCCAGAGAAGATCAAGTCAACGACCCGACTCCGAAAATTCAAGTCAACTATATATTGTTTTAGAGAGAAGAATCAGAGGATTAAAATTGAGATTGTAACCCGCAATTTATTTATTTTAATTCAATAAAATTATCTTTGTTCAATTTTTCTTGTTTGTTTATATGGCAGATAAGAATTTGTTGTATGAGCTATAAAGCTCAGTAAGAAATCCCGATTTCTTGCTCAATTAAATGGCATCAATAGTATGAAAAGATTTTTCAAAATTTCTTAAAAGATTTGGAGTGATTTCGAAAAATTAGGGCTTTTTGGGGAAAAATGGAAAAGATGTGTTTAGTGTTAATTTATTGTTCTTGCATGCATCATCTATGTTGATAGTGGGTAGATACAAGTTTTATTGGCCAAAAACATTAAACATTTTGGATATCAAAAAGGCTTGTAAGAAAAATGAAATTTTGCACTTTTATGGGGTTGCATGTGTAGATCTTAAGATTTTTGGGTCAAATCTGTAATTTTTAAGAAGTCAGTCTTAAATGTGTTTTCAAAAACTGTTTTCCAGCATTTATTGAACAAAAATTTCGGATTTAAAAAGGTTTTGCAAGAAAAAATGATTTTTGAACTTCTAGTGGTCTTGCATGTATAGATCTAGAGATTTTGGGGTGAAATATGTAATTTTCGAAATTTCTGCATAAAGTAACTTTTTCAACTTTGTTTTCTGCATTTAATAAAGTAAATTTTCGGATTTGTAAATGTTTTTCATGAAAAAGTGGATTTTGAACTTTTAGTGTGGTTGCATGTGTAAATCTTGAAACTTTGGGTTCAAAACCGTAATTTCCAAAAAATCTGTCATTTTTAAATTTTGGAATCTGTTTTCCAGCAGGGGTATTAAATGGGAAAAAGTTTTATTTACTAAGGTTTTAAAGTAATTGAGGTTATATTAGAGTTTTGAATTTTTAAAAGAAAAAGGGAATTTTCTAGTTTTTAATTTCAAGAAAATTTTAAACTTTGTGAAAATTTAAAAATAAGGCAAGGAATGAAGCGATACAAAGATTTGTCTGCATCAGAACATTTAAAAATGGCAGAGTCTGATATTAAGTACTCATCAAGAAGGAAGCTGAAGGATGAGGTAGATAAGTTTAGATGGGGTAGCTTTTGTGGAAGGCAATTTTCTGGGTCATAAACATGAATTGTTTGAGATGTATAGTTGATTTCCTTCACAACAACATTTACGGAGAACGGAAGCACAAGAACAGCGTTGTTTTTGTGGTCGCAGTTTAGATCGAAACCCGGATAGCCACAGTGCTGAGGTTGCTGAGTTTGATGTCTGAAAGGAAACCGAATTATCGGGCTATGTTTACTGCATCTGATTGGCGTACAATCTTCAACGTTTCCTTGCACTACTACTACTGCAACAAGTGGAAATAACAAAAGCAAGAAAATAAAGGAAGACATTATTAATTTTTATTTATGTGCATGTAATTCAAATTGGCAGACTAGAGTTTTATTTTCTCCATTTAATAACAGCAATACAGAACCTTGTATCCCCCAATTGATAGTGGTGGACCTGATGAGATAGTGGTGGACCACACTCAAGCGTAAATTTCACATAATAAACATATGTCGTATCCAGGGTAGAATCTGCATTTTTCGGTGAATATTCCACATAATAAAAAAAATGCCGTGAAAAATCATACCGTAAGGGGGTCGATGTAAGATGGAAGCAAACATTAGGGAAATTTTGGTAATTACCAATATGATATTAAATTAGTAAAAAAGATAAACATATTATCTGGTCATGTTCATGTAAAATGTTTAATATCAAATGATTTATTATGCAATATTTTGTTTATATAAATCCAAGTTTATGAATTAAAATACACAATTTTCGTAACACCATCAATCATACAATTATAATAAGTGAAGATTTTAAATTGAATTTAAATAAATTTAAATTAAATTAATTACTATTAAAATTAAAATAAAAAATAAAACTATTTAAAATTTCCAATAAAGTTGATATATTTAGAGAATTTTATAAATGGTATGATATAAATATATAATAAAATAATTAAATATCTTTTTAATTTTGGAAAATGGTGACATGTTTTTTGATGATTTATTTTCATCAATCAATTTGCAACATGGGATGAAATTAAGGACATGTCATCATTTGAAATTGACAAATGTCAATCAATTAGGCATGGAATTCAACTTTTATATATTATATAGATAAAATAAATAAAAAAGAAGACATGTCAAGAAAAGAGCCACCCGGTGAAAATCACCGGGTGTAGCATCGTATTCCCCGGGGTGGGGTGGGGTGGAGCGGGGAAGAAGAAGACTTATTTTTGTTTTTTTTCTTCTTCTTTTTTTTAAGGGTTAAATACAAAAACACCCATGTACTATGAATTTTGTATCGTATACCCCCTGTACTACACATAAATACAAACATCCCCCTCACATTATATTTTTTTCAAAATATGGCGAAAATACCCCTACTTAAGTATATATATGTATACAAGGGTTTGTTTGAGCCATTTTCAGTCAATTTTACGTGGGGAATTTTGGTATTTATATTTTTTTCTCAAAAACATCTAATTGCTTAGATTTTTTTAATTTATAATAAAAATCTTTTATTTTTGACATTTTGAGTTTCTTCATTTTCTTTTCTTAGATTTCTTCCGGTAGTTCAAACATCATAAGATTACAAACATCTTTACAATCCTATGATTGTTGAGAATTTGAACTACCGGAAGACAGTTAAGAAATAAATGAAGAAATTCAAAATGACAAAAATAAAAGGTTTTATTGAGAAAAAATAAAAAAACTAAGTAATTTAATGTTTTGGAGAAAAAAATATAAATATCAAAATTTGCCAAGTAAAATTGACCGAAAATGTTAAAAATATAGTGGAAAATGGCTCAAACAAACCCTTATATTTATAGGCTAAGTAGGGGTATTTTCGTCATATTTTGAAAAAAATGTAATGTGAAGGGGGTTGTTGTATTTATGTGTAGTAGTATGTGATACAAAGTTCATAGTACATGGGTGTTTTTGTATTTAACCTTTTTTTTTAATGTAATATAACAAAAATATAAAACATATAAAATCTTTTCATACAACAATATATGTTTAATTTCTGTTTATATTTTGTAATTACAAAATTATTAATAAATAAGTTTATAAAATTAAAAATAACTACACATAAAAAAAATTAAAAATAATTGTGTAATAAAATTTGGTTTAATTAAATTAATTATAGAGTTGAGAAGTTTTAAAAAATAAAACTGTACAATATATATTTTACTAATTGCTGAAAAATCCATAGGGCATTTTTGTCATTTCACTTTTAGTCAATGCCTAAAAAGACAGTTTTGATTACACGAGGGGGCGTTGGTGAGTTTTTTTTGACAGGGAGTATTTAGCAATTAGAGATTACATAGGAAAGGTATTTGCAATTAGCTCCAATATAATTTGACGGAAATTACTCGACTATTTCCTTAATCATGACCTGTTATGTGATAGTTGTCCCTTTTGAAGAAGCAACACCACACTCAAGCGTAAATTTCACGGTAGACTACTTGTTTAATTATTGTGAAGAAGACTCAGTCCTTCAACACACACACACATCAATCTTCAGTCTTCACCCATCAATATTAATTCTTTTAGAAAATGTGATATCAATCATTTTCCTCTGCAAGTAGTTGGTGGACTTGAATTTTCCTCCATACAATTTGAGTTGACTGCATTTCCTAGTTGTGGTGAATTCACTATTTGCTCAATTATTTTTAACTAAAAAACAAACTCCTCCATTCACACATTACTATAGTCCTCTATCTCTCATCTCTTCCATCTAATTAATCATATCCCCAAACTTAGCTATAGTTCTTCAAATTGATCACCAAATATTCATACACATAGATGTATATCCTCTGCCAAAGCCTCCTCCTCAAATTTATTTATTTCTTCATCACCACCCAATTATATTTCATCCAAAAATCCCATGGAAACCAAATCAACTGCACCCCTTCTTCATGTGGCGGAGTTCGCAATATTAGATATCCTTTCAGGCTCAATACCGATCCAAAACGTTGCGGTCATCCCAAATACGTACTTTCATGCGAAAACAATACAACTTCACTATACCTCAACTCTCATAAATACCTAGTCCATGAAATCAACTATACCAAACACACCTTCCGTCTTGCTATTCCTTATGTGACAATGATTGAGAGTTGCTCATTCCCCAAATACCCTTTATTCGATTACAGGTTTTATCCCTATTATTTCAATGTGCAAAAAAGTGTTTCAATTAGTTTTATGAGCTGCCCATATCCAGTCAATGGTTCGAAGCTTTTGGAAATTACTTCTCATTGTGCAGATAGAAAATTATATGGTGTGAATGGAAGTCGCGCATATATAATATTTGGCACAGATGTACACCAAGTAAAGGATATGTGCAAAATAGACCTCGTGGTGATGACTTCACTGCCACTTAAAATAGAAGAGAATGTTTCCTTTTCAACTATGCACAAAGCTCTGCTATATGGTTTTGAGGTTTCGTGGGATTTGAATTCCTACTACTTCGATGAATGTGTACTCAGTCCAATTGGTAGATACTATTTTTGCGGTAAGACTCAATCAATTATGTTTATGTAATATTGTTCATCATTTTTCATGCATAGAAGAACATTTTAAAATTTTACACTATTAAGATTCAATCAATACATTTATGTCATTTTGGTGGTGGGTGGCTGAGAATTTTCGAAAACGTAAAAGACAAAAAGAGAGGGTATAAGAGTAATTGCACTACAAAATTTAAAACCGTTAAATTTATGTTGACTGGCTGTCAAAAATAGAGGAGTCTTTGTAGTTTTTAATACTAATGAGGTGAATGCGACATTTTTCACAGTACATGGTGGAAACTGTATTTTACCCTAAAAATCTATTGCAATTTCAAGATTCTGCTTATCAATAGAAGGGAATAATGCTCTTGAATGATTTGCTTGTCACTAGAAGAGAATATTACACTTGATGCTTTTGTGTCTATTAATGAAAAGTACTAGTCATATTATAGGGTAAAAAGAAGTTCTTCAAAAGTTAATGCCAAACTCGGGTGGACCATCTTGATTTTTGGGCTTATTTGGATTGAGTCATTTGGTAATGAACTTCAAATTCGTATCTCTCATTTTTCAATTGTTTTAACAATTAAGGTGGATTTTGAAAACCCTTCTCACTTAAAGTCACTTTTAATCCTGTCCACTTGAACCCATTTACAATCCATTCCTTTCAAATAACACCAGCCTAAAGGTTACCGCAAGTTTCAATTGGTCATCGTATAATTGGTGTTGAAATAGTGAACTCAATTTTTTTAAACATGCGTTAGTTTATCCTAATAAAAAGTAAAAAATAACGTAATCATTTTATCAGTGACCAAAATGGACTTTCGATATCATTTTTACGATTTTAACAATATTTGAAGGATTTTTTCTTTAATCTTTAATTTATTTATTAGTTCTTTTAATAAGAAAATTAGTCAAATAGCGGTGAAAGAAAATAAAGAAGTGTAATATGAATATGAATATGATATATAAACCATTTCCTTAGATCGGTTACACCCCTTATCAAACTATTATAATACTCGTACCGTATCTGCTACTTTCCTAATCATATACATGTGTACGTGCAGGGATCGTGGACATTCTTTGGCGTAGCATAGGTGAGTATCAAATTGTTGAATATCTTTTCAAAAAAAAATTGTTCTTATCCATTAACATATCTTTACCTGTAGATAGCACTTTGCCTGAATTTTAGCTTGTTTTGCGTTTAGTCATTTTTATAAATATGATTTTTTTGATATAGACCCCTCATAAATTGTTTTAATATAAAGAGGTCTATTTTTATTTTCTCCATTTAAACTCAACGATATTTTTTAATAATCTCAAACTTACCGTTCAACTATCTTCTTTCCACTACACACCATCTCCATTTTTTTTCTTCTTAAATTGATTTTCATTTTTCTTGTTTGTTTAAACTTTTTTTTTCCTGTCAGGTTTATACCATAATAGAAATCGACTACTAAAATCGTAGT